AGTGGTAGAGCACTCGCCTTGAGCTGAAGAGCTGAGGGACAGCGCCCAGGCCCAGAGTTCAAGCCCCACGACCAACCAAAAAAAAAAAAAAAAAAGAGCTTTAGCCTTGAGCAAAAGAAGCTCAGGGCCAGTGCCAGGCCCTGAGTTTAAACCCCAGGGCAGGTGAAAAAAAATGTTAAACATGAGAACAACTTAGCACATAGAAAGTGTTGAAAAGCTAACTGCCCTAGCCTCAGATATAGGCAAGGCTTTGGCAAACTATGGACTAGTCAGAAGTACTGGAGGAAGAAATCTGTGCCCAGCCCCCTGCATGTTTCTATGGGGATCCTACGTTGATATTCAGCAGCTACTTGATAAAATCCAGGTGCTTGTCAGGAGACAAGCACAAAATCAGATTAGAGGTCTCAGGTATGTAGCAAGAGAGCCTGTATACTGCAATGGCAGACACAGTGGAGCCAGTGGGACAGGAGGCCAGGACAGGAGGAGGTTTTGGAGGAAGGAACTTGCCTTGGGGAACCGAGGAGGAAGCAAAAACTGGGAAGCAATGGGGTCCCAGCTTCAGGCCTCCCATTCATTAAGTCAGCTGAAAGATCAAGCATTGCTGATGACAGCCAAGGGCTCAAATGAAAGTGCCTCAAGATGCATTGTACTCAAAATGTTATACAACTATTTAAAGATAATTTTACATGTGTAATCCTAGCTACTCAGATCTGAGGATCACAGTTCAAAGCCAGCTAGGACAGGAAAGTCCTTGACACCTCCATTAAGTGCACACATGCATGTGCGCGCGCACACACACACACACACACACACACACACACACAGAAGTGAAGCTGTGGCTTAAGTGGTAGAGTGTTAGCCTTGAGCAAGCCCCAGGACCATCACTAAATAAATAAACACTACAATAAAAATTTAAGAATGAACACGTAGCCAGGTGCTGGTGTCTCGCACCTATAATTCTAGCTACTCAGGAGGCTGAGATCTGAGGATCATGGATGAAGCCAGCCTGGGCAGAAAAAGTCCCTGTGAGACTCTTACCTCCAATAAACTACTAAAAAAAAAGAGCCTAAAGTGGCGCTACAGCTTAAATGGTAGAGTACTAGCCTTGAGCACAAAGAGGTTCAGGGACAGTGCCCAGGTCCTGAGTTCAAGCCCCAGGACCAGCAAAAAAAAAAAGAACATTGACTCTTCATGGTGGCCCATATATGGTGGGTCCTATCAGCTGTCTGATGCCATCAGTGGGGGTTAGTTATAACATACTGCAGTCCTTTGGCCAGAGCCCTGCTCCTCCCTCTGTTCCCTTCCCTTTCCTAAGGCCTCACTGATCTCCCCCAGTAGTGTATCTTGGGAAGCACTTACTGGCTGATAGGTATCTCCAGAAATCATTCTTCTCTGACTCTCTTTTCCTCCGCTAGAAGCTGCCCACAGTTTGAATGTGTAGCCCAGGCTTAGCTTCTTCCTTCTCACTTTAAGTCCTCTAGAATTGGGAGAAGTCCTACCTGATTAATTTCCTCCCTTGGCCTGCTGTGGGTTCAGAGGGAATAGAGGGAAGATAGGATTCCTCTAGACTCATCCCAAAGTGGATCTTGGAAGGTTAGACAGTTATCCCTCTGCCTATAGCTGTTAAATGCTCAACCTCAAACTCTCCTCCAGCCTACTTGCCCATGGCCAAGATGGTGGGAGTGCTAAGACTCCTTCCTGCTTCAGGATGCCAGCTGGCAGTGTCCACTCAAATTAAAATGCTCTCTTAGTCTGTCCTGGACCCCAAGGACTCCAGGGTCTGCTCCCCCAAAACTGCTGCTTCATCCCCTCTTTTCAGGATTGGAGAAATTCTCAGAGGGAGTTTCAGGTCACCTCTTCCTTTCCCAAACCTGTCCCAACCACCTCAACCTCTCCATTTTCCATCCTAACCCAAGTACTTACTATGCTCCTGTAGATGAAATTTGCCAAGGTGAGGGTAGCTCCTGACCGGAAATATTTTCGATAATTCTTACGAGCCTGGTAGGAACAAAAAGAAAAGACAGATTCTAGATGAGGTTCTGCCACTTTTTCAACCATACCTAAAACAGACTGGGAAGGAGGGCATAAAGTCAGACAAAATGCCAAAGGAGGGCAGCTACAGCACAGGCCCAGGCACACCCATGCACACGTACAAGTCTTCTCATCCCACACCCACACACAGGCCATCCTCAAGGAAGGGTGTTGGTAGGTCTTAGTCCTCTAGGCTTCCCCACCCCCAGTAGCAAGCACCACCCACAAGGGGTCATATGTGGACAGGAAACTCCTCTGCCACTCCTCATTACCTTCCATCCTCTCACAAAAGCTTGGATCCGCAATGCCGATGCCTTCATCTTCCCATAGTGTTTCTTTTGCTGTAGGAAAAGATTGGGCCTGGTAGAAAAATCCACATCCCAAACCATTTCTCCCACTGTAATAAGAGTAAACAGAATGGGACTTTGACTGCACCTTGTTACCCCGAAACCAAGCAGAGATGAGAATCTGACTCTTCCGCATGAGCTGGTAATGGGTACGGCAGCGCCAGCCTCGGTAAACCTTCTGTATGAGGATGGCCAGTTGCTGGAGTCTCAGGTGCCTCTTCTCTTCCAGGTAGAAAAGCTGTGGAAGGAAGAAGCGTGGGGAGAAACAGCTGGCTTCTCTCTTCCTGTAGCCCGCAGGACTGCAGTTTCTCTTAGCCAGCATCTTAGATGATGCCCTCTGCCCTGAAGAAGGCAGAGTGGAAACAAGCCTTCAGTTCCCAGGGGCAGAGATTTCCCATCCACTCCCTATTCCAGAGACTCTCTTCCCCTCCGGCCTCTTCCCCATGTGGGTCCTGGACTCCTCCCATTCCCACACATGTGTTCTCCCCAACTCACAGTCTTGGGGCTTTTGATGAAGAGCTTTGTCTTTCCATAGGCTAGCTCCTCTGAAGATATGCTCAGTTCCCCCAGGACCTTCTCGACCCCCTCCCTACAGGCAGATGGGAGAAAGCTGCTGAAAAGCCCCTATGTCCTTCCAGCCCTAGAAACATAATTCTCATTTCCCTAAGTATCCATCCACTGGCTTCAGCCCACTGGGTCTTACCTGTCTCCCCCATTCCAGTAAGGCCAAGTGCATGGGCTCAGCAGTCGGTACCTTTCCAGGAAGGGCTTATAGCCCTGGCGGAAGGCATAGCCAGCTCGGCGCACCCGTACATTCTCCAGCAACCCCAAGTACCGTGTCTGGACTACTACCAGCTCTGAAGAAAACTGACCCCGCTGTTGATTCTCATTAGGCTTTATGCACCTAGGAAGGGGGTGGGGGAAAGGCTTAGGGGTTCAGGAGTGGATACCTTGCTGGTAGACCCTATCCTGATCTCCATACCCCAATCTGTACACAGTTGCTCCCTTACTAGACATTTTCAGTCAAAGCGGAATCTCACCCCTTGGCCTTCCCAATTTTACTTACTAGCCTAATGCTTCTCCTCCCAGCCTTGGGCTACTCAGCTCCTCACTGGCCTCTGTTTTCTGTAAGAATGGGCCTCCAAGACCCTCTTCCAGAGTTACTCCTCTGGACATGTTCTACAGCACATAGACCTGGCACATGCCATCAGACATGAAGCATGTTCCCCTGTGTGCCCAGCTTGTCACCTGATATAGTTCGGGTTCTTGGAATACAAGTTCTTCATGAGTATGGCCACAGAACTCTTAAACTGGGCCCCAGCAGTCGGAGGGCGCTTGAGAGACGCTTCCTTGGGATTTCCCTCAGGGAACAAGGAATGAAGGAGAGGATGGCGAGCCTTCCACATGACCTGGGACAGGTCTCGGAAGAGCAGGTCATTGTTCTTGTCAATGAAGCCAGCCACGTTGTATGTTACCTGTAGAGGAATATCTGTGGTTTGGAGACCCCATGGTCCTGTTCTGCTTGGTCCTCCCAGTTGCATTCTAAAGTATCCTTAGTAGCATCTTGCCCACTGCCTTCAGTTTGTGTCCTGGCCCTAGTCATTGCCCTGAGCCCTGCTACAATTACCTTGCCTGCATAATGGCAGATACGGAAGCAGCTGAGGCCCATGGTGTGGTCATACTGGCGCTGGGCATTCTGGGTAACTTTGCTCTCATAGTGACTATGCTTGGAGAAGAGCTGGTTCAGCTTTGCTAGGAAAGTGGAGTCACTGACCACTCCAGGGCGCAGGCACTCTTCATCCAGCATAGCCAGGATGCCTCGCTGGTTCTAGGTCAAGAACAAGATGAGTGCAACATACATCTGGTCTTTCAAGATGTACACATTCTCGCTGTTGCTTCATCAACCTGCTCTTGCCCTTTTTCTCCTTTATCATCTTTACCAAGTGGGGCAGGGAGGAGAAAAACAGAAGAAGGATGTTTGGGTAGTCTGGAAAGGGAGATTTTCAGAGGGAAGAGAAAGATCACTCACATGCTCAATGAGGTTACAGATGATGCCATTATCAAAGTAGTCCACCTTTGTCCACGCTATGCCCTGGTAAGGGGAGACATCAGTTGCAAGGGCAAGTCCAAGTCAAGTCTCCAAAGACTTCATCAGACCCAGCCTTCCTTTTAGCCACTCTCACTACAAAGAACCATCAGAAAATCCCATAGTTCAGAGGATCCTTGTTTTGGTTCTATTAAAAAATCCATTCCTCCAAAATGGGTGGGAAATTTTGTGACATGGGCAAATAGACATGTGTGGGGAACCAGGGCACCTGTGAATGAAGATGAGACAATGCAGAAAGCTCTGTAGGTGGAATAGAGCCAGAGAGAAATGTAATGTGTCAAGTGGAGGTTGGCACAGACAGAACACTAGTGTGGGACTGGGGAGGGACCCAGGTGGATGTAGCAGATGACCACTCTGATAATAAACTATAAAACTATAATGCATGAAAGAGTTTCTCTTCAAGTAATTAGCCAATTTGATGTGTCTCCAGAGCTCTATCTACATCAGTGATTTTCAAGCTTAAGAATGCATCACAATGCACTCACTGTAACCTAGATTGGCGGGAGTCTTCCTTCCTACCTCACCTTCCTAATTCAGCAGCTCTGGGATGATGCTGGGGAAATTACATTTTTCATATGCTCCCAAATTATATTGACACCACTGGTCCAGGGCCACATTTTAAGAACCACTGATTCACACCATACTTTGGCATTACATCATTTTGTTAAAAAGCTTTGTACAAAAGATGACAATTGACCCAGAGATAATTGCTCTCTGCTCTGAGAACATGCTGAACACGAGGTCCACAGGCAGGATAGCTTCTCATTGCTCCCAAGGTTCCAGGTGTCTCAGGCTGGGGCTATTCCCAAATGTGACTGGGAAGTGTAAACTTTGCTTTTCTTTCTCCTTCACTGACCCTTAGAGAAAAAGTTTCCCTCCCACTTCATCCCATAATACCTCAACCAGTTAAATGAATATGATATCCTTACAATGTAGCTGTGAAAAGAATCTTTAGATACTGATATGGGAGAGCTCTTGTTAAGTGATGAATGATAAGGTCCATAACAGACCACATATACTGGCCTTTGTCTAAACTTTATAGAAAATTTTATTTACATATTTGCTTGTGCACCTGCAAAAGACCTTCCGGAAGAAGGCCCAGTCTAGTTTGCCTTTGGAAGAGAAGGGAACTGGGAGGCTGAAGGCAGAGGTAGGAGAGAGACCTTTATCTGTGTACTTTTGTAAGTTCTTTGAATCTTGGAACATCGGAATGTATTATCTATTTGAGAATTTAAATTGTGAAAATATTGGGGCCATATTGCCATAACAGATTCTTGAGAGTACATGAGGGAACATCCCTGGAAGGGTTTTAATGAGTAAGACTCTCTGCCACTAACACTTCCGGTGGGATTAGCTCAATCAGAGAGCTTTTCTAAGTAACACCTAGCCATAGACAACTGAAGTTTGCACTGAATCAGGGAAAGAGTGTGGAAATTTGGAGCCAAGAGCACTTCCTGTGAAGGAGTCTGGATTCAGGGTGCTATAAAAGGGGACAGCAACATCAGCTAGTGCCTGGAGGAGACAAAAGATTCTGAGATATTGGAGAAGGGCATAGTCAGAGATGTGGTAGGGTGCCAAGCCCAGGAGAAATATCCCTTCTAAATTTGGCTCACAGTCTGCCATAGGCCAAGTACAGCTGTCACTTCACTCTTGTCAGGACTCTCCTCACACACACCCTTCTATCAATCTGTCATCTGCTTGGCCTGGCCTAGAGTGGGAGGCTGGGGAGCAGAACGTCCTGGCTACTTAGTAATGCTGAATGCTCAGCTGTGTGATGGCAACTTTGTCCTTTGTGTTCCATTTGGGGACAATTTAGAGGAAGTTGTGATGGAGGAGGAAGGAAGATCTGGTATACGTCTGGGGGTGGTTTAAGAAGGTGAGCAGGGAGAAGACATGGTTTACCTCTCTCTTGTACTCCTCTTGCTCTTCCTTTAGGGTCAGTTCTATGAATACCTGCTGTAGCTTCTCATTGCAGTAGTTGATCACAAACTGCTCAAAGCTATTATCCTGAGGATCAAAGAGAGAGACCAACTCACCTGAGACCTCTCTCCCCTCACAGCCCCCTCTCTTACCTCCACCTGTGAGCCTGTATCCCCTAAAATCTAGGGGAGCAGGCTGGTAAAATTTGGCAAGGCTCTCTCACCTCCAGTATTTCAAAGCCATAGATATCCAGGACCCCCATAACCTTCTTCTTCTCTCCAGTGCCTACCTAAAGAAAATCAAAGGATAAATCTTAGAACAGATTCCGTGGGCACACCCAGCAAGGGTTCTCTTGTGAAGATGATGTGAGAAGAGGTGCAAACAGAGCTAAAGTGAGCTTGACAGAGCTGAAAAGAAGCCACAGTGTCTGCTCTTCTTCCTCTTCTAGGACAAGCAAGAAGGAAGGAGGGAAGGAGAGATGTAAATAGATTCCAGGATGGTGTTCCCACGGTCTGAGGCTAGAAAACATTAAAATCCTCTCAGGATAATAGTGGCTCATGCCTGTAAGGCTAGCAACTCAGGAGACTGACATCTGAGGACTGAAGTTCAAAGACAGTTTGGGCAAGAAAGTTCGTGAAACTCTTATCTCCAGGTAAACAGCATAAAGCAGGAAGTGAAGCTGTGGCTCAAGTTGTAGAGTGCCAGCTTTGATTGAAAAAGCCAAGCATGAGCATGAGACCCAAAGTTCAAGGCGCAGTACTCAGAAAAATAAAAGAAACTATAACAATCATTCCTAATATTTGTAGCATATTTTTTTAAATCCATGCCATTTAATAAGCTTCTCGTAATTTTATAAGGTATTTATTCCCATTGTACAGATAAAAATAATCAGCTTGCAGAAAGAAAAGGCATTTACCTCATCTTCAATTCAGCCCCTACCTTTCAGTGATACCTTCTGAATAGATGCCATTTTCTTGTAGATAACTGCTTGTTAACAGCTTTATTGGAATTAAGGGGATGGCTCAGTGGCAAAGCATATATTTCACAGGCATGCAGCCTGGAGTTGGATTCCACAAAATTTAAATAAATAAATAACAGCTGTATTGAATATAACTTATATACCAGGTATAATTCAGTGGGTTTTTTTAAGTTATCCAAAGTTTATATAAAGAGAGGAAGTAGAGGGAGAATGCAGTCATAATATTCAATGCACAGCCTATGAAACTAGGAAAACTGAGGAGCTGGGAGGAACTGGGAGAGAGAGGGGGAAGGGTAAAGGGGGTGACACTAACCAAGAAGTTTATATAACCTTCACCACCACCTGATTCCAGAGCAGTTTCATCATTCCACCAAAGAAATCTTTTTTCTTTTTTTTTGGGGGGGGGGGTCTGGTCGTGGGGCCTGAACTCTGGGCCTGGGCGCTGTCCCTCAGCTCTTCAGCTCAAGGCTAGTGCTTTACCACTTGAGCCATAGCACCACTTCTGGCTTTTTTTTTTCCTGTGGTGCTGAGGAATCGAACCCAGGGCCTCATGCATGCAAGGCAAGCGCTCTCCCACTGAGCCACCTTCCCAGCCCTCCACCAAAGAAATCTTATCCCCATTAGTAGCTACTCTTCCTTTCCTTCTCCCCAAGCTTCTGACAATCATTGATCTACTTCCTAGCTCTGTAGATTTGCTGATACTTCACATTTCATATGAACAGCATTATATAAAAGCTGGTCTTTTGTGACAGCCATAATGTGCTGCAGCATATATAAGGCATCAGTGCTGCAGCATATATAAGAACTTTGCTCCTTTTTTATTGCCAAATAGTACTCTGTAGCACAGTTTGCTTACCTATTCATCTGATGGACACATGGGTAGTTCCTAACTTTTGATCTATTATGAATAATACTTCTATGAATAGTTGTATACAAGTTTCTGTGAAGATACCTGTTTCCAGTTCTCTTGGATGTATACCTAAGCAACTGTGTGCATCATTTTAATCCGATCTGTAGTCAATTCTGGGAAGCAGGTGGGCCTTAGTGTTTTTTGTTTTAGTGATCATGTCTATCAAGAAACTGGGGCTCAGGAGCTGGGAAGGTGGCTCAGTGGTAGAGTGCTTGCCTTGCATGCATGAGGCCCTGGGTTTGATTCCTCAGCACCACATAAGCAAAAAGAAAAAAGCCAGAAGTGGCGCTGTGGCTCAAGTGGTAGAGCGCTAGCCTTGAGCTGAAGAGCTGAGGGACAGCGCCCAGGCCCAGAATTCAGGCCCCACGACTGGACCCAAAAGAAAGAAAGAAAGAAAGAAACTGGGGCTCAGCATCTTTGTGAAACTGAATGATGACATGGCTGAGAAATAAATGGATCAGATTTTCAAACTTACTACTAGAAGGAACGACTAGAAGATACCTTCCCTCCCATCCTCCTCTCTCTGTTTAATCTTAGAAACCAAGGAAGGAGCTGAGGGTGAGAAGGTGAAAGGCAGAGAATATTGAGAAAGAGGGCTCACCTTGATGCTTTCATTGATTCGATTCACTATCCAGTTGAAGAGGCGGTTGTAGATATTCTTAGCTAGAGCATCCCGTGCATACTGAGCCTGAGTGGGGGACACAGTTGGAGGATGAGGGATATGTGTTACCTAGTTATTGTGACAGCCACAAAACAGATAAAATCAGTCCCGACAGGACCTTTCTTACCTGGATGACATTCAATACTGTGACTACCTTTTCTTTGGCTGTTTCCATGGTTCTTGAGCACAAGGCTCTCTCTAGTTCCTCAGAATTCAAACCCACCATCTCCCCAATCTCTTGAATACCTGAGGTGATGAGGAAATATAAGGAGGTATCAAGAGAAGTCCTTATCTTGGTAGGAGAGAAAGTCTGATAAGGAACTGCCACCGGTCTTGGTGGGGAAGTCATTGTAGTTGATTCAGACTACATTAACAGCCCTAGGAGAATAGGGGCTGAAAGTGTGCTGCAGAGTAGGTAGATCTGGGCACTTACTACGCACTCTCTAACTCTCCTGATAATGTGCTTACCCCCACTGTAGAAGAGTCAACTGAGAGGCTGAGAAGTCCCAGACCTAGGTCTATCAAATTTGAAAATCTTGTTCCAAAATGCTTCACCAGGAATGCTTCCCAAGGGAAGACCTCAGGAGTGGGCCACATAGGAATGATCAGAGTGAGGCTGGTTACACTAGACATGGTACAAGAACTCAAAATAGGAGACTCAGGGTGGAGCTTCGGCAGGATGCCACAAACCTTTCCCGTTACGGATGCCACTTGCTGGTATCCCATTGGCTTGGAACTCGTCAGTCATCTCCACATTCCCCAGCTTCAGCACCAGAGCAGTTACCTCCAACACTTGTCGAATTTCCTCCTCTGAGAACCCAATCACGGTCATTGCCCTCTTAGGAAAGATAGCAGATATCAAGTGAGCTGGTGGTACCGGTCCAATGCTGAAAGCCAGAGCTTGGACTTGGGGAAGAGCCTAAGAACCCAAGCCTGCCCTGCCCTGAGCACCCACCTGAACAGCCCTGAAGTTGGAGGCGTCATCCATGCCACCTATTCTGGACACCTCAGGGTTCAGATAGGTATAGCAACTTATGTCCTGCTCAAGCTTCAGGGCCTCTGGGAAGGTCAAAATGGAGGAAGAAGGTTAGTACCTGCTCTCCCCTGCCTGCCCACCCTCTCCACCCCAGCCTTCACACCTCAACAGCCTTGCTCTGAGGGGCTTCATTCTTTTAATCAAAGGAACCATTTTTGGTTTAAGTCCTTCCCCTGTTTTTTGGATTAGGAGATAATAATTTCTACAATGATAGACTCAATTTTAAGTAGTTTAGGGTTTGGGTACTCACACTTGGAGTTTCTCCACAACAACTATGAAAGAAAAGCTTTATTGAACCCCTCCAGGATCCAAGTGGAAAAAAGATAGAACCTTCCAGGTTCTAAATAATGCAAACAGTAAAACAAACAAAGAAAAAAAACCCTCTTCATCCTGCTCAGACTTCAGTGCTTCACACCCACTTCAGCCTCAGCACCTAACTCACTTTCAGTCTGGGTTGATTCATTGTTTGTTCATTAGGTACCAACAAAGTAAGAGATAATTGTTCCCTGGCCCTGACACCTCCTGTGGAATGCTTCCTTTGATATTGAAGGACTGAACTCAATCAATGGTCTTGCATCCCCCTGTGTGGTAAATCTTTATCCCAGCCCCTATCACATGAGGTAGGGCTTGGTTTTTCTATCTCTCCCACAAATGAGCAAGTTGTCGGTTGGAACTGTTTCTCATCTCCATAATCCACATGCCTGGCTAACAAGCAGGATCTTTTATTTTAATAAATGCATCAAGGAAATATTCAGAAGTGTTTATGATAGGAAGAACTTGTCTAATCCTGGAGTTTGAGGGTATTATTTATCTCGTAAGCAAATTACTTGAGATCATGGAATATATCTCAAACTGTAGTTTAACTGCAGTTTCCTCTAGCACTAAAACCTTATTTTCATTTATTTAAATTTTTTGTGCAAGTTGTGGGGCTTGTACAGTGGGCCTAGGAGCTATCCCTGAGCTTTTTTTGATCAAGGCTAGTGCTCTACCACTTAAGCCATAGACTCACTTCTGGCTTTTTAGTGGTTAATTGGAGATAAGAGTCTCATGGACTTTCCTGTCTTGGCTGGCTTTAAAGCTCGAGCCTTAGATCTCAGCCTCCTGAATAGGTAGAAATACAGGCATGAGACACGTTAGATGCCCAGATTAAGCACACAAATCTTGAAACAGGAGCCTGCTAAGTTGAAGGGAGAATGAGTCAGAAATCCTTTGGATATTAATACCAAGGAAACCTCAGACTTGGCTTAAACTGACAGGTGATAGACTCTAGAACCTATGATTTCAACAAATTGAGCATCACCTTGAACATCATTTTGACCTAACAAGGTCAAGGTAATGACCTGTGGGGACTCTTGACCCACACAGATCTCAAGCAGGAAGGAAGTAGTTAGACATGGGTTCAGCATAGAACAAAAAAAAAAAAAATCAAAGGGACAGTCTTAGGGGCCAGAAACCCATTTTCACACTGGAGAGGAGATTGAACTGTAAACTCTGGCAAGGCCTAAGTCCCACTGGACCCCTGTAGTGAGCATCACTGAGAGCTACCTTTAGCCAGTCCAGCTTCCAGTCTGGCCTGGGCTCTTCTCCAGAATAAGGTAAGGGTCTCCATGTCTTCTGCTCATTAGCCACCTGCACAGGCCTACTGGCACTAATCACACTTGCATTGAAATGCTCTTCCAGAAATCTGAGTTCTTAGAGGACAGGATCCATGACTTACTCAACTCTGTGTACCAACAGACTAGCACAATGACTGATCAGAGATGCATATGGATGAATGAATGAGTGGCTGAAATGTTCAGAGAGTTATTTAAGAAGAGAAAGCCAGGAACATAGTCCTCAGCAAGGAAGATACAGGTCCAGGACAGCTGCAACTAGAGTTCCTAGGAAGTTCTTAAACACTTTTATAACATCCTGTCTGCTTTCCTGCTGAACTCTCATTATAGCCACTCAAACTGGAAGTAGGAAGGAAGATAGATGATTGATTTCATATTTGAAGCCAGCAGACAAAAGAGAAATCCAGACAGGACAGGGAGATGAGAGCAGCAAGGAGACAAGAAAGGCATAGCCCTAGGCAGGTTCTGGTTAGCGATATAATCCTAGAAACTCAGGAAGATGAGAGATTAGAATGGAGATCTGAAGCCATCCTAGTAAGAAAAATCCATGAGATCCATATCTCCAATTAACCACCAAAAAGCCAGAAGTGGAGCTGTGGCTTAAGTAGTAGAGAACTAGCCTTGTGCAAAATCACTAAGGGACAGTGCCCATGCCCTGAGTTCAAGCCTCAGTACCAGCACTAACTAACTCACTAAATAAATAAAACAAGAAAGGTATGTCCCTGGATGTCAGTCCCATCAAAGGACAAGAACAGAATACTTGGGAGATTCAAACCTAATAATGGGTCGTGAGGGTCCTGATGGGGAATATAAGCACAGAGAAGTCTGGGTGGCCTCAAGAAGGAGGCTGCAGGGCCTCAGAGTGGTCTGGGTTTCTGTAGGTGGAATGGAGTTTGGGGAGACTTTTCACATGTCCAGGGCAGGCACGTACTCAGCAGCTGTGCGTCTGCTCCAGCCAACAGCTGATAGAAGATATGGAAGTTCCTTTCTCCTTGGAGCTGCTTCACCACTCGGGATTTCTCAAGCAGATCTGACAGAGAATTAGAAAATAACTTCCCTGGGACATCAGGCAGATCCTTCTAATTCCACCTCAACCTTGGTGTTTCTACTGGGAGGCTTCCTGGAGTCCTAATACTCTTCCTTTTTTCAAAAGTAGATGTGGCGAGCTCCAGGGGCTCATGCCTATAATCCTATCTACTTAGTAGGCTGAGATTTTTAAGACTGCAGTTTAAAGCCATCCCAGGCAAGAAAGTTTTTGAGATCCTTATTTCCAATTAACCACCAAAAAGCCAGAAGTGGCATGGCTCAAATGGTAGAGCACTAGGCTTAAATGAAAAACTACAGTACCCAGGCCCTGAGTTCAAGCCCCAGTACCAGCATGCATGCACACGCACATACACACACACACACAAACACAAACACACTGGATAAGCCGAAAGGGAAATCATGGGTCAGGTAGAACAAGCAAGAGTTGGTGAGGAATGTGAAGGAAACACATACAGTTTGTGATGACACCACCGAGGGGGGCTCCCTTGAAGTCAAACTCGATATCCATATATTTTCCCTTCAGAGAGACCAGAGAAAGGATTTGTTCCCACCTCTTTTCATCTCCCTGTCTGAAGTTCTGTACGCCTCCTCCCAGCCGCCCTGCCCCAAGACTGGAAATGTGTTCACTCACAAATCGAGAAGAGTTGTTATTGCGGATGGTCTTGGCATTGCCAAAAGCTGCAGAGATCAGGAAGGGGAAGTGAGGGGGCTGTGGAGACCATAAGATTCTAGGGGAGGGAGGTCATGGGAAGCAGTGATTTTGGAGGAGAGTCTAGGACTGAGAGACTCCGGGGGACCAGGGGCAGGAAGAGTGGAGAGGGCAGAGGCCAAAATGCTCACCCTCCAGCACTGGGTTTGATTGGAGCAGCTGCTCCTTCACCAAATTCACCTGCTCCCCTTTCCCACAGACAGCAGCCACGTAGGACATCACCAGCTTGCTAGCCTCTGTGCACAAGAAACTCAAGGAGTCCCAACCAGACCGGACACACACCACCCTCCTCCCTCCTCAATTCCCTGCACCCCAGCAGTTCAGACCATACCCTCAGAACTCAGAAAAACTAAGGAGCAAATGCTGATGCCTGGGACAAGGCTAGGCCTGGTTTGGAACAGACACAAGCAGATGCTTTGCAGAGTTGACTTCATGACTGCCCCAGCCAGGTGTCTCACCAGTCTTTCCAGAGCCACTCTCGCCTGTGATGACGATACACTGGTCTCGATCCTGATCCCTCAGTGACTGGTATGCCATATTTGCCAAGGCATAGCTTGAAAGGAGGAGTAGGCAATGACTAACATGAGCCAGCCCCACGTACCACCTTTTACTCAATCCCCAGCACTGGGTTCATCTACCCTCTGCACACAGGACAGACTAGGCAAGAAGGGCTAGGCCTAGTGAGGAGCCTCCAGAAGGCCAGGGGATTAGGGGCACAGCTGGAGAGCTCTCTTTAGGAAAAGGGATAAGAGAAATAGGAATGCTTCATCATCACAAAGATGGGACCTTCTCGGCCTTCCCTGGGTTTCTTTACTCACATATGAGGTTTCAGCTCATAGAAAGTATAGTTCTGGTATTTGGCAATGAATTCTGGGCCATAGATGGGTAGCTGTTGATAGGGATTCACTGAGATTATCACGTTCCCAATGTAGGTCTGGAAAAGGGAAGAGGGTGAAGGAAATGAGTGAGGTGGACATGAATGGTGAAGGTGAAGGTGTGAACTTTCTTTCCTTCTTCCTTCCTTCCTTCCTTCCTTCCTTCCTTCCTTTCTTTCTTTCTTTCTTCCTTCCTTTCTTTCTTTTTTTCTTTTTCCTTCCTTCCTTCCTTCCTCCCCTTCCTTCTTTTTTTTTTTTTTTTTTGGTCAGTTGTAGGGCTTGAACTCTGAGGCTGAGTGCTATCTCTAGGCTCTTCAGCTCAAGACTAGAGCTCTACCACTTGAGCCACCACTTCCAGTTTTCTGGTGGTTAATTGGAGTCTCATGGACATAGCTTTATGGGCTGGCTTTGAACTGTGATCCTCGGTAGCTAGGATTACAGGATCCTGAGTAGCTAGGATTACAGGCATGAGCCACCAGCACCCGGCTTGGAGATGTGAGCTTTCTAGACATGCCCAGAGCCTGGTCACCCATATCACACTCACATAAATTTCCTTGTTTTCATAGCGAAGCTGAAGGTTCTCAAGCAGAGATTTCTCCTCCAAGGGTTCCAGGAGGACAAGGTCCTCCACTCCCACAGTATCTTCTAATAGCGGCATGTCCAGAGGAGTTGGAGATCCTAGGAAGAAAAGAAGACAAACTGCTAACATCTGCTCAACATAGCAGAGGAGGGCAGAAGGACCAAGAGGAGTCCCCTACCTACAAAAGCCTCTGGGCCAGCCAGACCAATAGGGAGGTAGAGGAGTCTTCCACTCCCTAATGTGGGATGGGGTGGGATAGGACCACTTGTCTCTGCCTATCTGGGGAAGGACCACATCAGTAAGCAGCAAGGAGATGGGCTTGAAGGAGAGAACAAGCTTGGGAGGGAAGTATGAGCCAAGCTTTAGGCAGCAGCCAGGTATTGAAAGCTTCCTTCCTCCTGTTCAGAGGCTCTGGCCAGTTTCCAGACTCCCCGATTGCTTTGTGTTCCTGTTCAACCTTCTACCTCCCACAGCCTCTATTTCAGTCACCTAACCCCTACTCCCCCATATCTCTAGCAGGAGCTCTTTCAGAGATCTTTTCTTCCTTTGATTTCTAGCTTTATTTTTTCTTTATTATTATTAATATTATTATTACTAAGTAGTCTTTACAAAGGGGTTACAATTCCACAAATCAGGTTATGAGTACAATGCTTCTTGTCAACATCACCCCTTCTTTTCTCCTCCATTCCCCCCTCCTTAAGTTACATAGTTAATTTGCAAGCTTCATTTTTTTTAAATGGAGATTGAATAAGGCAATGGATTTGAAAACACAGTCATCCATAAAAGTCAGAAAGCAAGAGTCATCCATAAAACATTAGAACAGTCAGGTGCCCGTGGCTTATGCCTGTAATGTTAGCTACTCAGGAGGGTGAGATCTGAGAGTCTTGGTTTGAAGCCAGTCCGGGCAGGAAAGTTCTATGAGACTCTTATCTCCAATTAACCACCTAAAAACCTGGAGTGGAGCTGTGGCTCAAAGTAGCAGAACAGGGCTGGGGAATGTGACTTAGTGGTAGAATGTTTGCCTAGCATGCATGAAGCCCTGGGTTTGATTCCTCAATACCACATAAACAGAAAAAGCTGAAAGTGGCATTGTGGCTCAAGTGGTAGAGTGCTATTCTTGAGCTGAAGCTCAGGGACAGTGCACAGGCCCAGAGTTCAAGTCTCACAACCAACAAAAAGAAAACAGAAAAAAAGATTTGAAATCCCCATAGAAAATGGAAGTGGGCTGTCTGGAGCATTAAAACCCCCTTTGCACCAGTAGAGTTATAAAAACAAAGAAACTTGCACATACAGATTATATAATGTATTTTCTTTTTGCCAGTCCTGGGGCTTGTACCTGGACACTGTTCCTTTTGCTCAAAACTTTCACTCTACCACTTTGAACCACAGCACCACTTCTGGTTTTCTGGTGGTTAATTGGAGATAGGAGTCTCATGGACTTTCCTGCCCAGGCTGGCTTCAAACCAAGATCCTCAGATCTCAGCCTCCTGAGCAGCTAGGATTACAGGCATGAGCCACCGGTACCCAGCTTATATGATGTATCTTAATGCAATAAATTTTATACTTGTACCATTTATAATTCCTATATACTTATGAAGTATTTCGTTTTCAATCTTCTGAGATAATAAAGGCTGCTTCACAGGTATTCCAAGAGTCTCATAACAGTGGTACAAAAGCAAAAAAAAAAAAAGCCTCTTGTACTTGGAAGGCCACCTCTTTCTCATGCTTGTGGGTTTGACCCAGTGGGAAGAAAGAGAGGGTAAAAGGGCTGTGAATATGATTACTACAATCTTATATTTTTACTTACACTTACATACATATATATGAAATAGAACAATGAAATCTATTAAAATTGTTTTTAAAAGTAGGGTGGGGTGAGAAAGAGTAACAGAGGAGATGAATTTAATCAAAGTACATTATATATATGCATGGAACTATTACAACAAAACCCCTTGGTACAATACATGCTAATAAGAACATTTTTTTAAAAAGGAAATAAAAGTGTAGTTTGTTTGCCCAACTGTCAGGGCCTCTGGATGTTGGCCATCTCTGCCCTTGTTTTTCTACCTCCAGATCTTATACCTATTCCCGTACGCTTCAGGAGTGGACTTTGCCCAGAGGTACACACCCAGTTTTTTAGTAGTTGGTGGGAATGGGTCAGAAGGACGGCTGCAGAAGGGGTTGAAAGGCTGGCCCCATGCAGGACACACATAGCAAGTATTTCCTGAGCAGGAAGTCCAGCCTCCTCCCACTCCCTCACCCCGTTCTTTCTAGTGGATCTGAGTAAGCAGGGTGGCTGGGTACAGGGCAGCATTAGTACAATGGTCAATGCCACTCCCAAGCAGGAATAAAAGAGACACACAGTCTCTCCTCCATCTTTAGACCTCAGTGGGGGAGGGGAGGGGAGGAAGCAACACTGGAAGATGAGGGAAGAGGTGGGAAAAGGTTTCTTTCCCCGCACTCAGCCTCCTTTCCCAAGCTCCAATGACTTCCTGCAAGGAAGCAGTAAGAATATTGATAATAGCAATCACTAGAAATCATGTAGCAATTAGCCAGGGCTCTAAACCCTGTGCAAATACTAATTCATTTGATGCTTACAGTATTCCCATGAAATAGGTACTACTGTTCTCTCACATTTTTCAGAATTCGTTTTGAAAGACCAAGTCTTTGAAGCAACTTAGCCGGGAAGGGAGAGAAGTCAGAGTTGGCTGGGAGAAGGCATCTTTGGATTTGGATTTGAGAAGAATGGGAATGGGATTAATTGGGAAAGGGGAAGGGGAAATAGAAACAGACTTCCAAACGGGACACCTTGAAGTATGAAAGAGTAGTGACAGATCAAGGCAGGACTTACCAAACACTGGAACAAGGATGTAACTTCAGCGTCCCTTGAAGAATGGGAGATGAAATCCCAATTTGACAGGAAGGAGACATAGAAATCCCCAAGGCCAAGGTGAAGGGTCTTAGTTAATGGGAGCTGTCCATGGTGTTTGGGGAATCCAGGCTGCCCTCCGCTTGCCAGTGTCCACTCCTCTGACCTTCCTCTGTTCTGCCTTCTCCAGCCCAGACTGCCTGTGCCAAGTCAGGCCAGGAGACCAGAGAGATGGCTGCTCAGCACAAAGTCCGGGGCTGTTCCTGCTGAGGGTGTGGCTCACTTAACCCTTCACACATCTGAGATGCTCAGTCAGGGTGGGTGACTTTAACTGTTCCAAAAAATTGGGAAATGAGAGCAGGAGGAATAGAATTTATCACCAAGGAAGATTTTTCTAAGGTCAGGAATTCTGCCAAGGAGGAAGGCAGTCTAAGGTGTCTTCCTAGGAAAGAGATAGCACCTCCCTTAAACCTACCTTTCCTAGTTTACTGGGAGTCTGAGGATAATGAGATTACTTGGAGAGCTAAGCAAAATTTCCAAATCCTGTCCCCTGCTCTTCCCCCGTCAATCAGTGCTCGTCACAAAGACCCAAAGACTAGACTTGGTGGTGATAATACCTCCCATTTGTATGGATGTCCCAGTTTCTTTGAGCTTCTCCTTGTACTGTCTCAATGAGCAGCTCCTCCCTGTGAGCAGGCAATGCACGTACTCCATCCAAAGGGAAAATTAGAGGCAAACACCTGGTTCAGTTGTTACAGTTGTTACATGCCCTTATTTCCACAACTAGCATATGTCAGAACTAGGAACAGAATACAGCTTCCTGACCCTAAGTTTGCCATAGATTGTAGCCCAAGTCTGAGGTTTCTAATTTTAATCCTTCAGTATTAGGATACTGAATAAGACCCTGAGATACTGTTTTAGCCCAGCAGGAAAAAAAAATCTCTCTTTTATAAGACAAATAACTTATGAAATCCAATTTCTCAAACACTCCTCATCTAGACAGGAAAATTCCTGAACAGCAGTTCCCCTCTGTTCACCATCCTCTCTCCCAGCCATGCACAAAGAACAAATTAGGTAATTTACAGATACTTAACTAAGATAGAGACGCAATTTTCCAGCTCTCAGCCACTTCTGCTTGGTTGAAGGTCCAAGCTCTATTGCGCTAGCAGAAGCACTTGGCATAAACCGGTCCATCAGCAATTCCATTATCAACCTGCCTTTACATAATTTATTATATGTATTTGAAGGGAGGAAAGCAAGGAAAAGAGAAAGAGAAAGCTGAGTGCAAGTTACATCAAAATATAATCTCATAGGACTGGAGGTGTGGCTCTATTGGTAGAACACAGGCCATGAGCAAAAGAAATCCCAGCAAGCCTGGTGCCAGTGGCTCAAGCCTGTAATCCTCGCTACTCAGGAGGCTGAGATCTGAGGATCTTGGTTCAAAGCCAGCCTGGACAGAAAAGTCCATTAGACTCTTATCTCCAATAAATTACTCAGAAAAAGCCAGAGGTGGTGCTGTGGCTCAAGTGGTAGCTCAACTAGCTTTGAGCACAGAGGCTCAGGGACAGTGCCCAGGCCCTGAATTCAAGACCGAGGACCAGCACAAAATAAAAAAGAGGAAAAGAAAGGAAGGAAAGAAGGAAGGAAGGAAGGAAGGAAAGAAGGAAGGAAGGAAGGAAGGAAGGAAGGAAGGAAGGAAGGAAGGAAGGAAAAGAAATCCCAGCACAAGGCTTTGAGTGCAACATTATATCAAATGCAGAGTGACTACAGAGGATGAGAATGAGAAAAAAGAATTTACCTGTGGTCATACCACTGAAAATCTGGCAGAAACTAGATCTCATGTTCTCTTGGCCAGGAATCTGTAGCAACTTAAGCTTTATCTGTGCCTAACAATTCATTCATGGGATTGCCTCCTATTTATTCATAGAAGTCTCTAAACCAAGATGGCAACCTTAGGCCATAAAATAATGTCCTGAACATCACAGCTCTGGCTACTAACTATAACCCATAGTGGGTTCCAACCCACTTCCAAGTGTGAATTTGAGTGTTGAAACTAGCGAAGTCCTGGGAAAAATTGAATAAGGGGTCATACTAACTTAACAAGGTATGACATACATAGCCAAGTTAAGTGGGATTTCAAGATATGTCAAAGCCTCTCTGGGAGGATGGAGGCATGGCTCAGCAGTAGAGCCACACAGAAAGCTGTGTC